GTGGGCAGCCCCACTGCAATGCCTTCTGGGAGGGAGAATAGCCCAAGGTCGATTAACAGATGTGAAAGCACAGCTAGAGAGGGGGAGTAAGTGCTCATGTTCTATGCAACCATAGGGCAACTGTAATTAACAACAATTTATGGTTGTGTATTTCTAAATAGCTAGAAGAGCAAATTTTAAATGTGGGCAACACAAAGAAATGATAAATGTTTGAGGTGATGGATGTGCTAATTACCCTGATTTGATCATTACGCACTGTATCCATTTATCAAAATATCACACAGTACCCATAAATATATACAATTATGTGTCAATTAAAACTAATAAAAGTAAAAAATTTAATTTCTTTAAAATAATGTTATCTTATATTGGCTTTTCCTCTTTTCTTGTTTAATTTCCCACTTCCTTGTTCCTCACTCCTGCTCCCTGGAATCACTTTTTTTTTTTTGAGACCAAGTCTCACTCTGTTGCCCAGACTAGAGTGCCGTGGCATCCACCTAGCTCACAGCAACCTCAAACTCCTGGGCTCAAGCAATCCTGCTGCCTCAGCCTCCCGAGTAGCTGGGACTACAGGCATGCGCCACCATGCCCGCTAATTTTTTCTATATATATTAGCTGGCCAATTAATTTCTTTCTATTTATAGTAGAGACGGGGTCTCGATCTTGCTCAGGCTGGTCTTGAACTCCTGAGCTCAAACGATCCTCCTGCCTCGGCCTCCCAGAGTGCTAGGAGTACAGGTGTGAGCCACCACACCCGGCCTGGAATCACTTCTTAAATACATTGCCTACACAAAGATTTTATCTCAGATCAGCTCTCAGGAGAACTTGGGCTGAGACAAGTCACGAACAAAATACACAAAAACTGTCCCTTTCGTGGCGCCTTCATTCCTGTAGTGGAGACAGAAAATAAGATAGTAAGCAAAGTATACAGCACATCACACAGTGATTAAGCGCCAAGAAAAAAAGAAAGCCGGGACTGGGGCACAGGGGATTAAGGAAGGAGACTGCGGTGTTATCAAGGATGGCCGGGGATGGTCTCGCGGAGAGGCGACATCAACCAGACCAAACCGAGAGCCGGCGTGCTGACACCTGACCGCACAGAACTTCAGGCAGAGGAGGCAGCCAATGCCAGGCCTGGCGCCCCCGAGGGACATGAGAAGTCCAAGAAAGAAAGGTCATTTTCAGAATCTCAAGTTTAGAGATGTTTCTTAAAACCAGCAGGCTAGCTGAGATCACCGAGGGAGTGTAGACGGAAAAGACAGATGTGGCCCTCCAATGCAAAGAGGTTGGGGAAGAGGAACCAACAACTGAGACTCAGCAGGGTCAGCCACAGACTGGGAGAAAATATTCACAAATCATGTATCTGATAAAGGATATGTATCCAGAATAAAAAGTTCTCAAAATTCAATAGGAAACAGGCCGAGCGTGGTGGCTCACGCCTGTAACCCTAGCACTCTGGGAGGCCGAGGCGGGCGGATTGCTCGAGGTCAGGAGTTCGAAACCAGCCTGAGCAAGAGCGAGACCCCGTCTCTACTATAAATAAAAAGAAATTAATTGGCCAACTAATATATATAGAAAAAATTAGCCGGGCATGGTAAGTGCATGCCTGTAGTCCCAGCTACTCGGGAGGCTGAGGCAGGATTGCTTGAGCCCAGGAGTTTGAGGTTGCTGTGAGCTAGGCTGACGCCATGGCACTCACTCTAGCCTGGGCAACAAAGTGAGACTCTGTCTCAAAAAAATTAAAAAATAAAAAATCAATAGGAAATAGGAAACAATCCAATTTTTTTAAAAAAGAGCTTTCAACAGATGCTTCACCAAAGAAATTATGCACATGGCAAATAACCCCAAGAAAAGATACTCAACTGGAGTAATTATTTATTTTTTCAGCATATTATGGGGGTACAAATGTTAAGGTTATATATATTGCCCTTGCCCCCCTCCCAACTGGATTAATTCTTAAGGAAATACAAATCAAAACCACAATTAAGGGCGGGCACGGGTGGCTCATGCCTGTAATCCTAGCACTCTGGGAGGCCGAGGCGGCCGGATCGCTCAAGGTCAGGAGTTCGAAACCAGCCTGAGCAAGAGTGAGACCCCATCTCTACTATAAATAGAAAGAAATTAATTGGCCAACTAATACATATAGAAAAAATTAACCGGGCATGGTGGCGCATACCTGTAGTCCCAGCTACTCGGGGAGGCTGAGGCAGGAGGATCGCTTGAGCCCAGGAGTTTGAGGTTGCTGTGAGCTAGGCTGATGCCACAGCACTCACTCTAGCCTGGGTGACAAAGTGAGACTCTGTCTCCAAAAAAATAAAAAAAAAACCCACAATTAAGTATCACCACACACCCAGGAGAATGACTAAAATTAAAAAGACTGACTGACCATGCAAATGCAGGCAAGGATGCAGAACCGGAGCACTCATACACTGCTGGTGATGGCATAAATTCGTGCAACCACTTTGAGGAATAGTTTGGCAGTTTCTTAAAAAGTTTAACATACACTTACCACAAGATCCAGCCATTCCTCTCCCATTTACCCAAGAGAAATGAAAGTATATGCTTTTATAAAGACATGTCTACAGATGTTCGTAGAAGCTGTATTTGTTATAACAACAAAAAACTGGAAGGAAACAACACAAATGTCCATCAATAGGTGAATAAATAAGCAACGGCATATCCATACATGGAATACTGCTCAGCGACAGAAAGGAATGAACTACTGATATCTACAAAACGAACATCAAAATAATTGTTGAAAGAAGCCAGACAAGAAGAGCACACACTGTATCAGTCCACTTACGTAAAATTTTAGAAAATACAAAGTAATTTATGGAGACAGAAAGCAGACTGGTGCCTGGGGATGGGGCGTGGGGTACGATGGGGAGGGCTATGATGAAGGGATTACCAAGCGTCAAGAGGACGTATTTTAGACTGATGGATACGTTCACCATTTTGATTGTGGTGATGGCTTCACTGACACTTACGTTTGTCATTTTAAATACATGCAATTTAGCAGGGTGCAGTGGCTCACGCTTATAATCCCAGCACTTTGGGAGACTGAGGTAGGAGGATTGCTTGAGGCTGGGAGTTCAAGACCAGCTAGGCAACATAGTGAGACCTGTCTCTACAAAAAAATTTAAAAATTAGCCGGGTGTGGTGGTGTGTGCCTGTAGTCCCAGCTACTTGGGAAGCTGAGACAGGAGGACTGCTTGAGCCCAAGAGTTCGAGGTTACAGTGCACTATGATTGCACTATTGCACTCCAGTCTGGGTGACAGAGCGAGAACCTATCTACAAAAATAAACAAAAATAAATATTTGCATTTTATGTCAAGTATGCCTCAATAAGCTGCTAAAAATGTTTTGAGAATAGTGTATTTAGAATTTTTATACAAAACTTTATGCATTTTTAATTTTCCTTATAGAACATAAAAGTCCATAATCATAACCCACAAATCTCCTCTAGCCTCACAAATACCGTGCGCGGCACGAACATCGTTTTCTCCGTGAGCCATGGTGTGGGAAAGGACTAGTTTTGAGGGTCCTTCTCTCATCTTTGTGAGACTAGGCAAGAGGACATCACTGTCTCAAGCACAGCAGGGGAGACCCCAGCCACAGGGCTCACGAAACCGTCTCCAGGTGTTCTGTTTCACGCTGAGAGGTGAGTGGCTGAGGTTTGGGAAAGGGGAGATGAGTGTCCGCAGGCATCGACCACGAGCCAGGTCCACATAAGCAGACGCGAGGGGCCACAGTGCCAGGGAGGGGGCGTCTGTGAGTGGCGGTGGAAAGGCAGGAAGACAAGGCAACCAGGTTTCCAGGTAAGGTGACTTTGGACAAGTAGACTCAGAGGAGTCCCAGCCCCGCAGGGCCTCTGCCATCTCGCTGCCCTCTCCCCTCTGGGCACAGAGAGAATTCTCAGAGAACAGCCGGAGCCATAGAGCCACAAGGCCACCAACCAGACACAGGGCTCAACCTGGCCTTATGTCCATACGACCAACATGGGGACAAGACAGAGGCTCCAGCAGAAGCTGCAATGGCTACCCCGGGACAGAGATACAGCAGCGGCAGCTGCAGCCACAGCTGGTTTTGTACACCTGGCACCTCGTGTGCACAGGAGGCGGCAGAGGCGGTTAGGCAGAGGGGCTGAGTGCCCGGAGAGATTCCACCTGGGCTCACGGCATGACTTCATTGCTTACCCAACTGTTCTGTGCCTCGGTTTCCTCACCAACAACATGGAGACGAGAATGACCACATACAGTTGGGAGGATGAAAGGAGTTAATATCTAGAAAATGTTCACACAAGTTCCTGGCACCAAGTTCGCTCTACAGTGTGTTTCTATTGTTGCGTTATCCTCTCCTTTCCAAAACCCCGCTCCTGCCTTACGCCACGTCAGATAGCTCAGGCTCGTACACATGGCAGACCAGCACCCAACCACTTGACTTCCGGGCATACAGGCAGTCCCCACTGTTAGAGTTCTTCGAGTTTGGGGATCTTGCTGTACTATTGCCCCGGCTACTACAGAACCCCACAGAAAATCTAGAACCCCTGGAGGGGGACCCAAAGGTGTGGGTGTACTTGTCCATGCATGTCCTGCCATCACCAGCAGGGGGCGATGAGCACCACGCTTTGCATGGAATCACACGCCAGCCCTGGGGACAACGAGCTGCTTCCTGTTGAGGGTGAGAGGCTCAGGTTCTGCAGCCACAGGTGGGCCTGCGGTCACTGCTGCCTCCCAAGCTCTCGGGCTTTCCTAGTTCCCATCTGCCCCGCTTGCTGGAGGTGGGGCCTCAAGCCATGCATCACCCAGCCTCAGTTTCCCTCACTTCTCAGTAAGATAGGTGTCATCACCTCTGGCCGGTGTCCCAAACTATACCAAACCTTCAGATCTTTGGCTCAGTGTAGTTCTCTTCCGTTCTTGTACCAACAAGGGGTTCCCAAGTCCAGGCTGAGGCCTTCCTCACACTGCCCCCCAAACAAAACAGCAGAAATGAAAGACCAAAAAAAAAAAAAATCATACCTTTATTGTTTCATTAATGAACTGGCTTGGAGGGGACAAGAATAGGGCAGATGAGGGAATAACCTTGATTAGTCAGAAACTCCTGTTACCTGTATAAAAGACGAATGTTACAAAAATCACATAAAAACCAGGGTCAGCAAAGCAGCAGGGCTTGTGGAAGGGGCTCAAGGCACCTGGAGGCTGAGAAGAGGCCCAAGCTGGCCCCGGGCATGGCCAGGTGGAGGGGCCCAGGGCTGCAGCCCGCCCCTCCCGCCCCTGGGGCGCACACACTCTCCTCTCTCCTCACTTACAAGTCACCACAAAACTGCCCTGGCAGGGGCATAAGGACCACGGGCCAAGGCACTGGCAGACACGAAATGGACCCCGGGCTGAGCCCTGAGCTTCCCCTTGCCCCTGGGTCCAGGCCTGGAGAAGGGACGCCTTTGTCCCCCAGGCCACAGGGAAGCCTCCGTGGGACACCACGGGCAGGCACACACAGCCCGGGCTTCAGTCTGCCCGAGTGTGGCAGAGGGCCACGGTCCTGTCCACCCGCAGTGTGGACTGAGAGGTGCTGTCCGGCATGGCACGGTCCTGCTGGGGCCGCCGTCCCAGGCGGGCGCCCTACCCGGGGTAGCACAGGCAGCAGCCCGTGCCTGCGGCCTCCACGCTGGCCTTAGCTCCAGGCCCCAGGAGCCCGTCGGTGACAGAGTGCTCGGTGATGATGTCCTCCACCCGGGTGATGTACAGCAGCGTCAGCAGCACCCCCAGGAACTGGGGAGGAGGGACAGAGCCGGTGAGAGCCTGCTGGGCATCAGAGCAGCCCTCCCTGGCAGTTCCCGGCTCCCAGAAACCCTGTGGCCAGTCACAAGCCCTCATGGCACTGGGCGACCTGGGACGCCCCACGGTGGAGACTTCCCCCAGCACCCCCACTTCCCAAGCAGCCCAGCCTGGGCTCCCTCTGTCCCCGCAGGAAACCCCATAGATCTCCCGGTGCCCCTCCAGCCTGGGACTCCTGCCTCCACCCCAGCTCTGCCATGCACCATCTAGGGGACCTTGGGCAAGTCAGTCAGCCTCGCTGATGCTCAGTTTGCTCCCCTGTGAAATGGGCATGATAGTCATACCTACCTCTCGGAGATCACGAAGGAGACAGTGCCCGGTAAGCACTTGGAAGAGCTTAACCACCAATGCTCCTGCCATTCACCCTCTCCCTCCCGCCCTGCAGCCCTCCCAGGGCGAGCCCAGACTGTGCCCCCCTGCACCTCTGTGCCCTTCCCTGCCCACCTGGGGGAGCAGGATGCCCAACAGGACGCCCGCCATGATGGTGTAGTTGTCCATGAACCAGATGAGCACGGCGTTGGTGCAGCCCCGCACGTAGATGACGTTCTGCACGCTGAGGCGCTGTGCGGGGAGGAGCCGGTCAGCCCAGCCGAGCAGCTCGCTGCGCTGCAGCCCTGCGTCCCACCCGGCCATTCACTCAGGTCTGAGCCAGTCCCTCAACCACTCTGGGCCTCAGTTTCCCATATGCAGCATGAAGAGGTAGCCCTAGAACACTGATTCTCAACAGGCAGTGCTGCTCCCTAGAGAGCACTGGGGACACTGTGGTGGCACTTCTGGTTGTCCCAACGATTGGGGTTGAGGGCTGAGGGACTGCAGAGCTCAGAGCAATCCAATCCCACAAACTGTCCTGCCTGCCTGCGAGTGAAAATCCTACCTACAGTTACCTGGCTGGAGGCTAACTTCAGGTACTTAGAAAAAACAAAGGATTTTCTGCACTGGTCACAATGAATTTCCCAGAACTACCATTATGTAAATTAAGGGATAATTAAACTTGAATTCAGAACTCTATCAAGAATTGTGCACCATTTTAAAATGCCATGCGGACAGCAAAAATGATGCCCACAGTAGGCGAGTTGCCAGCACAAACCCTGCACCCGCTGCCCCTCCATCACCCCCATCTGGAGGACGCTGCACGGCAGAGCAAACACCCGACCCCTTCATCGTGTCTCCGGCTGTGCTTAACCGCTGCCTGAGCATCCACGTGTTGCAATGTGTTACAGAGCTGTCAACCGCTTTATTTCTTTCATCTGAGATCACTATGTTGCTTGTTTTTGAAATCAGGAGTGCAGGTAGGTCGTATTGTCTATGGATTTCATTTGGGGATAATAAGTAGGGCATTTCCAAGCGTTTGTCATAAAAAATGGCTATTGGTTCGCACAGGTTGAGAACCACTGCTGGTCTGTAGCTCTCAAACTCTGGCACGTGTCAGAATGACCCGCCCCAAGACTGTGCATTTCTAACAAGTCCCCCAATGTGCATTTCTAACAAGTCCCCGGGGATGCTGTCGCTGTGGTCCGGGGACTCCACCCTGAAAACCACTGCTCTGAAGCATCTCAGGTCACTGTTACCGTCAGCTCCCCTCCCAGCACCACCCCCGCCTCTCTCCTGGTCCGGGGAGTTGCCCAGGAAGCTGACCCGGGGGGACACCCAGAGGGCTTGCTAAACTCCAGGGACTCCTAGGTCCCAGGCAGAGGGAACCAGCGTGAGCCATCTGCAAACTGGTGGCCCCAGGGCAGAGGCAAGCTGCTGTGAACGGAGCTGGGGGTCCCGGCAAGGGCCTCAGTGCCTCACATGGACCAGCCCACGGCGGGTGCTCGGCAACTCTGGCAGGTAGCACCTCCCAGCCTGGGGTAATTCTTGGTTCCCTGAGCCCTTCTGTGCTTGGGAGGGGGCAGAAAACTCCAACATTCCTGGCTTTGTTTCACAGCCAGGAGCCCCTCCTCCAGAAACCCCCCTGATCATCCTAGGGGTGGGGTGGGAAGAGCAAAGTTTCTAGGGCAAGGCATTGCAAAGACATTACCTCCTTGTCGATGGTTTTGTAGCCACACATGGTGTTGACAACCTCTGTCTGAAACAGAAATGTGTGACAGCTAAGGTTTACAATGGCACTTACTCTAAAAGACACTACGCCTCTACCCATTTTACAGATGAAAGAACTGAGACACAGAGAGTTGTGCTGTCTGGCATGGATGCAGCTGAGATTCCAACCCAGGTGGTCTAGCTTTGGTCTGCATCCTGCCCACCCCCTCCAAGAAAAGGCCAGTGAGGACACGTGGGAGGGCTACTTCCAGGGCTCTGAGGCAGGAGAGACACCAGCAGCGGACCAGGACCCCAGAGAGAACTGTGTAGCCAGGTTCCCGGGCGTGGCCGCCCCAGAGCACCATCTGGCTGACACAGTTATGCGCCACCTCAGACATCGAGGCTCCGCTGGCTCTTGTGGAGGAAAACCCCAGACCGCAGCTGGGCCCCTGGTCAGCTGGGGTTTACCTGAAGCAAGGTGGCCCGGGCCTCACCTCCCTGCCCCCGCAGACCACTGCACCCCCAGCGGAGGGAGCCTGGGAAGAGAGCTGCTCTCCGGGACTCGCAGCTACTGATTAATTCAGGCGCAGGGAAGGCTGTGGTCGGGCCTTAGACCCAGTCAAATCCTTCCCCAGGCAGGCTCCAAGTCACCGGCTGGCAGGGCCACTTCCCATCACCACCTGTGCCCTGCACGGTCTCCTTCTCCATCTGCACCCAGCCTGGCACATCTCCTGGGCCCAAACCCTGCTCTGCCACCAATGAGATCCGCGACCAGCCCAAGCCGGTCACAGGGATGGCACACGGAGACACTCGGTACACATTTGTTAATGAACAGATGGACGAATAAACAAATAGGTCACGATGATCAGCAAACCCACTTCCTGGGGCTGTTTTGGACATGAGATACACACATAAAGTGCTTGTCCCAGAGCCAGGCACATGGAAGAGCACAGGAAGGCTGGCTGGAGTGACTTTGTTCACAATCCCGGCCCCTGGAAAGGCAGGGAAGGGTGTCTACTCTCTCTCCGAGAGAGAAGGTGGGGCCTCAGATGTCATCCGGGACATTCTAAATGTCAGGGCTGGGTGTGTGAGCAAAATAAGCTCCCTGGGTCTAGACGGTCCCCTGGGTCCCCGGAGAGCCAGCAACGCCCAGTGCCCGCTTGGCGTCCGTCAGCAGCATGGGAGGTAGCCCTAGACTTCCTTCCAGGCCGTGACCACGGCCCCAGGAGAGGGTTAGGCCTGGGGAGCAGGTGCACGAGCACATGATGGGAGTGGGGGCTTTCCGCCTCGTTCATTCATTCATTCATCGAACAAGTACTAACTGAGCACCTATATTGTGCCAATCACACAGCTCTAGTCGCTTGGAATACAGAGTAACAGAACGAAGTCTCTGCCTTCATGGAACTTATGCTAGAGAGAGAGAGCACACAGTGAACCTAACAAGCAAGCGAACTACCTAGTGCAGGAGGCGACAAGAGTAACTGCACTGTGCCAGCCCAGGAGGTGGCACCACAGGCCTGCCTCGGGGGCTCCAAGTCTCCCGGCAGAATGCAACTGGCAGAGGCCTCCCTGACACCAGAGCCCAGACCCTTCCCCAGGCCCGGGGGGACCCGCCTCCCCAAGGGGTGGGAGGACAATGCAGCCATGGTCTGTCCCAGGCGTCCTCAAACCATGGCCCGAGGGCCACATGCGGGTATTTTTGCCCGTTTGCTTTTTACTTCAAAATAAGATATGTGCAGTGTGCATAGGAATTTGTTCATAGTTTTTTTTTTTTTTTTTTTTTTTTTAATTCTAGTCTGGCTCTCCAATGGTCTGAGGGACAATGAACTGGCCCTCTGTTTAAAAAGTGTGAGGACCCCTGGTCTATCCAAAGGTGAAGCCCTCCTGGTCTGAGCACGGAATCAACACTCTGCAGAAGATGCTGCTGAGTATCCCTACCCCTGGGCACCCGCCCCCCCACGGCAGCCACAGGCCCAGAACCAGCCAGCAGTAGCCTCCTCCGTCTGGCAGAGAGGGGACTCCTGGGCAGTTAAGAAATCTGTACGGCAAAGTTCACCAGGGTGACTCGTGTGTGCCTCCCCTCACCTACCGCACAGAGCTGAGGATCAGATCCAGACTAAGACGTCCCAACGCAGAGCCAGCACGTCCCTTCCCGGGTGGGGCACTGCCCTCATGCGATGCATGGGGGTATGAAGGCCTGGCCCCCTCACCCCAAATGGGACAACTGTGAAGGACCATCTCGTAGATTTGACAGAGGTCCCCAGGTGAACCGCACGGAGATCTCACCATCCCTCAACTTCTCCCCTGCCCGACCCTGCTTCCAGGGTCCCTGCCACGGGTGCTGACCCCAGGGCAGCTCCTGCTCGCTGGCCAGCAGCTCCGAGTCAGCCTCCTGGACAGGCTGGCCTGTGACCCCACATAGCTGCACGTTAGCCCCTAACCTGACTCCCTGTGTCCACCTGTGTCCTCCACTGCACTAAGGGTGATCCTGGTAAAACCCAAGTCAGATCCGCCGCACCACTGCAGCCCCGAGGGCCCCGTCACTCCAAGGCACTCCACGGTCCTGCCCATGACTTTCAGGGCACCCATGACCTCCTTGGCTCCACCTCCTACCATCCTCCCTGGCTCACTCTGCTGCAGCCACACTGGTCTCTGTGCTGTTTCTCAAACACCCCGAGGCAACTCCCACCTCAGGGCCTTTGCACTTGCTGTTCCCTCTGCCAGGAACATCCCTTCCCCAGACACCTGCAGCTTACTCCCCCACTTCCTCCAGAACCCACCTTCTCAGTATCCAAAATCGCAATCTCCACGCCCTGCTTTACCTTTCTCCTTAGCATTTATCACCTTCTAACATACTCTTTCACTTACTTATTTGGTCAGTTTTCCCCACTATAGTGTCATCTCCATGTGGGCAGAGACTTCTCTGTGTGCTCGCCATAGCCCCGGGACCGAGAAACGTGTCTGGCACATAGTAGGTCCTCAACTAAGATTTGTTGAATGACATGCATGAGTACAAGGTGGGCTTCCACATCTGGACTTGGACATTCTGGCGCAGCTGCCCTGGGTGAGGAAGTTCCTGATCACCCCACGTGGGCCCCTCCTAAAACCCCGGCTCCTCCCCCACACTCTCCCTGCCCAGGGGCTACCCTAAAACGGAGCCAACATTTCCAAACACAGCTCCCCTCCCTGCCCAGCCCTTTTAGGCCAGCGCACTTGGCGCTGGCTCCCCGACCCATGCGCAAGGCCCCCGCCCGCAGCTGCTGGGTTTGCAGAATCCGGCAGTGGGCACGGAACGGCGGAGATGTCAGAGGAGAAACTTTCCATGACTATTTGGGGCGTGAGTAATCGCAAAGCTCTCCAGCTCATCCCAATCCAGAAACGGTTTCTGGCCACGTCAGTCAAACACAAGGACTGACAGAGCCTCTCGCTTAGGCAGTGACTGCACAGGACACCATCCCCAGTGACTGAGGAGGTGACAGAGCCGAGAGGACTGTGCTGGGGAGAGGAGGAGGCATCTACGTCACCAGGCATCTTAACAAGCACCCGGTTGCCAATGATCACTGGGATCTCACGGCCAAAGTCCACTGGAGACGCCCAAAGTGCAGGCCCTGCTCGGCCTCCAGCTCCGCAGACCCTGCTGAGCTACCTGGCCCCAAAGTCTCTCCCTCCTGCCCTCACCTGGCTTGCACAGTGCTCCCTCTCGTCCTGGCCCAGCTGGCACAGTGCTCCCTCTCACCCTCACCTGGCTTGCACAGTGCTCCCTCCTGCCCTGGCCCAGCTTGCACAGTGCTCCCTCTCGTCCTGGCCCATCTTGCACAGTGCTCCCTCCTGCCCTGGCCCAGCTTGCACAGTGCTCCCTCCTGCCCTGGCCCAGCTTGCACAGTGCTCCCTCCTGCCCTGGCCCAGCTTGCACGGGCTCCTCTACCTCGCCACTGCACGTGCTCCTCTTACCCTCGCCCACTTGCACATGCTCATCCCCAACACTCACTAGCTGCACAATGCTCCTCTCACCTTCACAGTAGCTTGCACGGCTCTCTCCCCTCGCCAGCTGCCATGCCTCTTACCCTCGCCCCAGCTTGCACAGTTCCCTCTCACCCTCTGCCAGCTGCACAGTGTTGCTCTCACCGCCTCCACGCCCAGACTGCACAAGTGCTCCCCTCGACACCTCGCGGGGCAGCGCCAGTGTCCTCTCACCCTCCGCCACTTGACTGCTCTCCACGCTCCTACTTGCACAGTGCCTGCCTCTACCCTCATTCTAGCTACGCACGTGCTACCCCCTGTCACCCCACCTAAGCTGCACATTGCTCCTTCCACCCTCCCTAGATTGCATCTCTCCTCCACCTCCAGTGCACAGTGCTCCCTCCACCCTCACCCTAGCGTGCCGTGTCCTCACCTCACTCTAGCTTGCACATGCTCCCTCTCACCCTCCCACTGCTCACATGCTCCCTATTCCAACCTCGGCGCCGCCACTGCCAATCCACCGCCCACGTGACATGCTCTCTTCCCCGCCACTTGCACAATGCTCCCTTCACAATCCCTACTTGCACAGTGCTCTCTCCCTCGCCAAGCTTGCACAACTGCCTCGTCACCCTCACTACTCGCACATGCTCCTCCACCCTACCCTAGCCTCAAGGCTGCCCTCCACTCCAGCCTGCCACACAGCTCCTCTCACCCCGCCTACTCGCACAGTGCTCCCTCCTCACCCCGCGCTACGCGCCCGGGCGGCGACCCTAGCTTGCAGCAGTGCTCTCTCCCTCACCCAACTGCTACTGCCATCTCTCTCACCCTCGCCCCGCTAGCCAACTGCCCCTCACCCTCACCTAGCTTGCCACAGTCTCCCTCTACTCCCCTAGCTTGCACATGCTCTGCCACCACACCTCCCCAGCCTCGCCAATGCCCTCTCACCCTACCTAGCTGCACAGTCTCTCTCACCCTCACCCCCGCCGCGCCGTCTTGCACAGTGCTCCCTCCACCTCCCTACTTGCACGTGCCCTCTCACCTCGCCAGCCTTGCACAAAGTCCTTCTCCCTCACTAGCTGCACATTCCTCTCACCTCACCCTAGCTTGCCGTCTCCCTCCACCCTCACGGCTAGCTGCACAGTGCTCTTCACCTCCGCCCAGCTTTCACAATCTCCCCTCGCCCCGGCCATTCCCACACAGTGCTCCCATGCCTGGCCCATGACCACAGTGCCTCTCTAATGCCCTGGCCCAGCTTACACAGTGCTCCCTCTCACCCTCGCCTAGCTTGCACAGTGCTCCCTCCTGCCCTGGCCCAGCTTGCACAGTGCTCCCGAGCACAGCCTGGGCAGCAGCTGCCTGCGTTTCGCCCCAGCCCCAACAAACTTGGGCACGACACCTAACCTTTTGGTGCCTCAATGCCTCTTCTGTAAGGTGGATAAAATAACAGCACCTCCTTCACAGGGTTGCGTAAGGACTAAATGAGTTAATACAACCAAAGAACCTGGAATAGGCTTGCACAGGATAAGTGCTCAATAGATGTTAAATGACACACAATAAAGACACGGCCTCTCCACTCCCATCCCAGAATCCCCACTGGCAGCAGCCCTTGAGGCTCAGGAAAGCTCTGACCAACCCCCACCCCCACACCCCACCTACCCCCACCCACCCCACCCACCCACACCACCCTGCTTCAACTCAGGCGGGATGAGGAAAAAGGAGTCTGACCAGCCAAGTGGCCCCGTGCACCCCGCCCCCAGGGCAGGGCCTACCGTGTTCCGGATGCAGCAGGTGTAGGGCACGCCGCAGGCCAGGGGGCCAGGGGCGCTGCAGTCGTGGTACTGGTTTGTGCTCCAGTCGCGGTAGTCTTCCCCGCCACAGCACTTGAACTGAGGAAGGAAGCAGGCAGGAAAGAGGAGCTGCCGCCATCCCCGCAGCCCCAGGCAGGCAGCAGGAGGGGACCCTGCCATTCATAGTTGGTTGCATTAGAGTTGGATGGAATTTATACGTGGGTCACCCTGGTGGGGAGAGAAGCTGTGTGCTGCCAGGCCAGAGCTGTCCAAGAGTGCCACGGCCGCCTAGAAGGTAGCAAGAGGAATGAAAGCCAGGGCTGGGCTGCCTCTTGGTGGGACATCAGGGTGGTAACTAGACTGGAGGGAAAAGTCCTTCCTTGACAACCAGACTCCACCTTCTTCATCTTCATGGCCCGGGTACAGGTGCCAGGCCGGAGGAGATGGCCTTTAAGGTACCAGAGACCATGATCCCTTGGCAAAGGGGGCGCACGCCACTCACACGCTGTCTGGGCTCTGGGCGCTCCCCTTGGCTGCGTCCCCCCCACAGCCCGACTGAGGGGCTGGCCTGTGCCAGGCATTGTCCTGGGCCTGGAGAGACACGGCAGGAAAAGCAGCGCCCCCCAGTGGAGGGCGACAGTGAGCACTGAATGGAGGGTCGGGAGCTGGTGCTGTGCACCCCAGCACCCCAGATGCGGAGAAACAGGGGAAGGGGTGGGGAGGGGCAGCTTTTGGGAGACAGGCAAGGGCGCCCTGAAGAGCGGACACTGCGTCTGAAACGTGAACAACAGGGAACAGCCGCCAGACGCAAGGGCCACATGGAACAAACAGAGGTCGGCGTGTCTGGAACACGGTGGGCAAGAGTGGAGGAGCACAGCCCTGTCACCCATGAGCAGGGAGCCGGGCGGCATTCCAGGAGCCACGGGAAGTCAAGGGATCAACCAGGGCAGTGCTAGTGTAGAAGGCCCTGGGCCATCAGGTTTGGGGACCTGGAAGTGCCTTTTTGTGGTGCAGTTCGATGGGCATTTGCTTTGTGATCAAACAGACCGAATTTCAAATTTGCACATGACCACTCCCAGCCATGTGACCTCAGGCAAGCTGATGGGCCTCTCTGGGCCTTAGATCCTTGCGAAGCAGGAACAGCAGTGGCAGCTTTGCACAGCTGAGCAGCGACTACACAGAGAGGCCAAGCTCTCAGCACAGGGCCTGGCACCGTGCAGGTGCCCAGCGAGCATTAGTCACCTCCTACGCCCACCCTGGGAGAAACGACATCCCCAAGCCAGCCAAGGGCAAGATCCAACAAAAACATCCCGCCCCACCCGGAGCAGGACTCGGGTCTCCCAGCCGGAGCTGGCAGGCACGTCCCTGGCAGAAAAAGGCCTTCCAGAGCCTGCACCTGTTGTGACTAGAGAGAGGGTCTGAGCCAAGGCAGCAGCCGCAGCGGGTGGCCCTGGCAGTGTGGGGACGTTGGTCCCCACGGAGGGCTGGCACAGGGGATCTGGCCAGCTGAAGCCCCCAAGGTCGTGTCCCGGGAAGTGCTGTCCCTGCTGAGTGGGCCCCCAAACTCTGCGTGTCCTCACCCAGGGAGGTAAAGATGGTCACTGCAGCTGACACTGGGGTCCCGTCCTGTGCCTGGCACGGTTCTGACACTTCTCCTGAATTAAGTCAAGGTGACCCTCACAATGAGGCCAAGAGGAAGGGACTTTTATTATCTCCCTCATGCAGAAAAGGAACCTGAGGCTCGGGACCAGATGAGACTGATATAGAAAAGCCACCAAGGACAGTGGTGGCCCTACAACTGCTATTGTCATTATTGCACCAAGAGACTTGTTGTCTGTGGTCCAAAAGGAACCATGATCACGTTCAAGGAAGGGCCATGGAGGAAAGGGAGGAGTCTTGTTCTGTGCCCGCCCCACGTGGGAGGGACAGGCGTCAGTGAAGAGCTTTCCCTCCACTGGGGCTGTCTTTGACTTGAGCTCCCTTTGAGAGAGGTCCCTGTCACAGAAGGGACTTGGCAGAGGGGGCTTTGGACTGGGGTGGGGGTCACTCTCACTTTAAGGAAGGAGGAGCCCTGCCCACTGGAGGGGGCACAACACCTGACCTTGTTGTGTTTTGAGGGGGCAGGGAGCCAACATAAATGGAGAGGGACAGGCAGGGAGAGGACAACATTCTGGGCCAGCTGCGTGGGCGGAGGACCGGTTGAGAAGGTTGGGCCAGATTCCCCATCCTCCGTGAGCCATCCACAGCCCACCCTCGCCTCCCATTTGGCCGGCCACCTGCTTTGGGAACAGATAAGTCACCTGACTCCTCACCCCACCTCCTTGGGCAGGTGCCCAAATGGAGGGCGGAGGGCACGGGAGGCACATCTCTCGCCCAGAGTGCCCGGCTCACCTTCTTCTGAACAAAGTCCATGATGTTCTTGAAGTCCAGGTCGTCATAGTAGTTCTCAATCCCTCTCCGGATGTTGTCGTTCAGAAAGTCAATGGTCTACCGAGAAAGAGAAATCACAAAGGAAAGGAACCATCACACACACCCATAGTCCAACCCAACGTTTCCCAGAAGCCACGTGCCTGAGCCCCTCCCGCCCGCCCCTCCACGCCCCACCCTGAACGCCCACCACCTCCCCACCGCACATTCTCCCCGCGCCTCCAGAGCCCCGCTGACACCGCAGCCCCTTTGCCACTCCAAGCAGGAGCCACTCACTCCATTTCCCTCGCTGATCGCAGGGCCCCGGCCCCAGGAGGCCGGGCCCCTGCTGGGGGCCACCACAGCTCTGAAGCAGCCACGCCCAAGCTGGGACTCCGTGACTCGGTTCCCTGTCTGTGCTCTCTCTCTACGGCCCAGGGACAGGTCTGAGCCGGAATCTTCCCTTTGCCCTCCAGATCCCCTCTCCACGTTCTTCCACCATCTAACCACCCGTTTTTCAGATGAGGAAACTGAGGCTGGGGCGGGGGCACCTTGCCCGGGTCATAGAGCAGGCTGGTTAGGGGCCTCGCCAGGACGGAATCCACATCTCCTGACCTTCCGTGTGGGTCCTCTCTTAGGGGCCTCTCTCTTCCCACTGCAGAGCTGGGCCCACACACAGACGCGGCGGTCCCCCCCAGCGGGGGTGGGACGGTCCCCACCCCACCGGGGAAGCACTGGCAGGCCGCCCTCTCCCAGTCACGCTGGGCTTTCTGGATCAACAGCCCGGCTGTTGTGCTGAGATTCAGGAGCACAAAAGGCCCCACAGTGGGAAGCGGCGGGGGCGGGAGTGTGGGTGACAATTGGAGCTTTCAGAGCAGGAGGTCGAGTGTCAGCAGAGACTGGGGACAAAGGGGGAATTCTCGCTCCGGCTCGGCTCCGGTGAGGACAGAAGAGCCAGACAACGCCCAGGGGCGGCGCTGCGGGGCACACTGGGACAACAGGACCCCAGGTTCCAGGCCTCTCTGAACCAACCCTGCAGGCCAGTCTTCAAGGTACCTTCCAGCTCTGAGGATCAAACACTAGGCTGAGAGAGGCTGCCAGGCCTCCCAGTCAAGGACAGTCTCTGCAGCCACCCAGGCCTCGGGCGCTTCATTTAACTTGAGTCTCCACTGCCTCACCTGCAAAATCAGGAAGAAAATACTCTCTGCCTCACTGGGATGTTGTGAGATTTAAATAAACTAAAACTAATAAAGTACTTAACAGGATTCTGGGCACATGGCAGGTCCTGGTATTATTATACCCTACAGACTACTTCATACCCACCCTGTCACCAGGGGGGATTAGCAGTTCCCATGGGAAACTGAGGCCCCTGACTCTTGTCCAAAAAGCCTACTGCAGTGGAAGCGGCCTCTGAAGCAAGAGTGCTGGGGCTGCCGAGGCAGGCCAGACGCTGGCCAGGCCCCCCCCTGCGGCCCAGAGAGCAATGTGACTTGTCCAAGGCCACCCGGCTGGCCATGGGCAGAGAGGCACTGGGACCAGGTGTCAACCTCCCAGCCTGACACACTTTAAGGTGCTAAGATGACTCCAGTTTAGGGATCATCTCCCCAAATTATCTCCAGTAACAGGGGACAGAAGCAAAGAATGCAACAGCCGCCGCCTGCGTGAGACTCAAAGTCAAGGTACAGAAGGAGACTGGTGCAGGGAGACTGACCTCTGCAGCCGGAAGGAAAGTCCTCTGCTGCTGCTGGCATCAGCTCTGGGGACATGGGGACTGCAGGAGACTGGGTGTCAGCCCCAAGTGGAGAGAGGAGATGCAGGTATCTGTGAGCAGCTCTCAACTCACCAGCCCGTGGCCCTTCACGGGCCTGCTCTGGGCCCCAGGGCAGGGCTGGGTGGCCACCTGCCAGCCATGCAGTCTGAGCAGAGCAGGGACCCACCTGGCCCCAGGCCCAGCCTCCCCAGAGGCCTACAGGTCACAAGGCCTTTCCAGAGTGCCTGCCCCTCTGGGTGACAGAGGGAGGGACCAGCCAGCTGGGGTGTGGTTGGGGGTGCCTAACAAACAGGCACCAGGGTCGGGCCAGTCTGCCACCTAGGGTGGGGCAAAGGAATGAGCTCACAGCGTTGAATGGCGCCCACCCTTGGCTGAGCTAGCTGTGGGAGCCACCAGGGTCAGGGGCTTGCCTAAGGCCATGCACATTGGGGCGGAGGGGGGTGGGGGTGGTAAGGAAATACCAAAGGCCACAGGGTTTTCTGAGCTCCCTTGTTTAAACCATCAGATACGGAAAACTGTCCTTTCTAGTTTTTTCTTTTAAATCTAGTTTTAAAGATCTCCAAAGCCACCACATCACTGCTCTCTGCAGACGTGCCTGGGGTGTTTTTAAATGAACAAGGAATTGAAGGGGACAGGCATGGGAGGCCAGAGGAGCAGGAAAAGGTGTGGAAGGGCGGCCCCAGCTGCCCAGGGCCCCCACCACTCTGGGATGGAGCTATCCTGCAGTCCCGCAGGTCTTCTGGCTTCCAGCGCCCTCACAACAGCTCCTGAGCCCCAAGACCAGGAGGCCCTGCTGCTGGCAGCCCAGCTGGACCCAGTGCCAGCCCGGTTCTCATAACTTGGAGGAAGGCTGCTTGGCCTAGGGCTTCCTTCGTTCCTTTGTGCCTGGGCCTCTAGGGGCTCTCCCCAGTCCCTCTAGAAAACGGGGACTCGTCCTCATTGGCTCAAGACCCCAGCCTCTGCTCCAGCCCTGACACGAGCCCAATCTGTAAACCAAGCACCAAAGCGAACCCAGGGAGCCGAGAGCAAAGAAAAGGCAAAGAGACATTTGGAGCATCTGCCAGACCCTCCTCGGACCCAGCCAGGAGTCACAGGATTTGAGTCACAGTGTCCCCAGGATTTGGGGCTCTAGTCCTTACTCCCCAGTGGCTGTCCACAGTGGGGCAGGGCATGCCAGTTGTGGGAGTCTGGCCGGCCCAGTGAAGAACTTTCTCCACTTCCGGACCACTGACGGCTTAGCTGCGGGTGGGAAGGGGGACTACATAGCTGGCCGTTCTATCTGTGGGCTCTGCAACTACGTATCCAACCAACCTCGGATTGAAAATATTCAGGAAAAAAAATAACAGTACAACACCCAAAAGTAATACAAAGTAAAGAACAATACAGTGTAACAGCTATTTACATAGCATTTAATTGCATTAGGTATTATAAGTAATCTAGAGATGATTTAAAGTACATGGGAGGAAGTGCATGCGTTACATGCAAACACTGCACCACTTAACAGCTCAGAGTCCTGCTGGGGACGGCCCTTTCTGGGCTGCACACCAAGCCCTCCTCCAGAGAGGACACCATCCCAGGGACAGGAGCACATTTCACAGGCCGTGGCACCCTCAGGGTTTGGGGATGACTGGACACTCTCACCCCAACCTCAGGCCTAGACAGGCGCCTTCATCTGGGCTCAGCTCCCTCACTTGAGACGGGAGGGATGTCATGGCCCTGCCGACCTACGGGGCACTAGGAAATGACAAATCAGACTGCCTTTGTGGCAGTGCACGGGAAACCAGAGCTGCTGCCCACTTAAGGAAATGCTGTTTACTGAGGCCTTGGATGCTGCTGCCCACGAGCTAGACCTGGGCTCCAGCCAGGAAAGCACCAGCCCGGCAGCCTGGAGAGCCACAGGCCGGCGGGAGCCGTGCAGCTGCGGCGCGGAGAAGCAGCCCCACCGCAAATGGAACAAACACCTCTCCCCCCTCGAGGCTGCCAAAAAATGCACCAGGATCCTGGACCTGCCAGCCCAGAGGAGGGGTCTGGCCCACAGAAAAAAGGGAGGAGCAGGAGCAAGGCTGGACTGAGAAGCAGCCCTGAGCTCCCAGGCTCATAAGACAGGAAAATGACACCTGGAGTCCACGACCTGCCTGTGGTGACGTCCCACCGCAGGAGGCCTGGGCAGGACAGGTGTGGTCCCTGCTCCCACCTGGGCTGGGATCCCAGCCACACCCATGAAGAGTTTCCCAGGGGTCAGATGCTGGGTGGGTCACTGGAGCGCTCTGCACAACCCACGGTGTGGGACAGCAATGGCCGTCCTGGGCTCAACTTCTGGCAAGACAGATAATCCGACCGCAGCCTTGAGGCACCGTCCCTGCAGCGACTACCCGAGAGCACTAGGGACCAAGCTGTCTGGGGCAGGCAGGGCTGAGGCCAGGAAGGGACAGGGCTCCGCCAACATGTGCTGCTTCTCAAGCCTCGCCTATAACAGCGGAGAGGGGTGAAGACAAAGGAAGAAGACTGAGGGAGGAAAGACAGAGCCCCGGGTTGGAAGTCAGCCTGCTCCGCCACTAGCTTCTTTCGGGACCTTGAGCAACAGCGGCCAACGAGGACCCACTATGTGCCACAACCATGCCAGCCCCTTCCCATGCATTCTCGCATCAGATTCTCACCCCAAACTCCATGCTCCCCTAGGGATCCGAGGGGCCAAGTGACCCGCCCAAGGTCCCAGAGCTACTATGAGGCGCACACGGCCTGCCTTGAAGGAGCTGGAGACCAGGAGCCACAAGAACCTTCTCGGCAAACCCTGCCAGGGCCAGGACGCCCGGCATCGCCCTCTCTGCCTGTCTCTCTCCCTCACTCCTAAATGCACGACGATAGGGTCCTATCGGTGCTGCCTCCAAAACATACACCGAATCCCGCCCTTTTGGCCCAAGCCCACTGCCTCCACTTGGGCCAAGCCATCGTCCCCTCTTCCCAGTGTGACCGCCGCACCCTCCAGCTGGTCCCCCACGTCTGCCCTCCCTACAGCAGGCGGGGTCAACTGTAAGCTGGATCATGTCCCTTCCCCGCATAAAACTCCAAAGACTCCTACCACCTTTAGAAAAATTCTAAGCTTTTTTTTTTTTTTTTTTTTTTTTTTTTTGAGACAGAGTCTCACTTTGTTGTCCAGGCTAGAGTGAGTGCCGTGGCGTCAGCCTAGCTCACAGCAACCTCAAACTCCTGGGCTCAAGCGATCCTCCTGCCTCAGCCTCCCGAGTAGCTGGGACTACAGGCATGCGCCACCATGCCCGAAATTCTAAGCTTTTAAACTGTAAGACCTATGGGACTGTCCCCTTCCAACTTCACCTTCCACCCTCCTCCTCACCACCCACGCCTCAGCCACGCTCCTGCACACCTGGCAAGCTCGCCTCTGCTCGGCTCCCTCTGCCTGGACCTCACCTGGCCAGCTCCTTCCACTATTTCAACACTGTCCTCCCACCTGCACCCCGGGCACGCACACGTCACCCTGGTTCACACTGCCGTTTGCTGCCGTGCTTGTTCAATGCCCATCGCCCCAGCAGAATAGAGGCTCCATGCGGCTCTCTGCTCACTGCCGCACCCCCAGTTCATAGCCCAAGGCTCACGCAGTGAGTGGGTGCTCAGTGCACACACGGCTGATAAACAAACTCACAGACCCACCTGGTTCCGGAAGATCAAGGCCACCACGCCACCAATGAGCTCCATTATGAGGCAGATCCCGAGGATGTACATAAACTGGAAAACAGAATTCAGAGATTTCCTCTGGAGGGGGGCAGAGGAGGTGTGTGGGGTGCAGGGGAAGCGTCATCTGCTCCAAGGTCGAGCACAGTGAGCAGAGCCATCTCAGTGGGGGCTCCTGCCAGCGCAGTGAGAACACAGGACATAGATGGTCATACCCGGGGAAACCCCGTCTCTGCAGCCAGAGGGCAGGAAGGGTGACTCAGCTGTCCCAGCCAGATTGTTACTGACATCTGTCCCAGGGTCCTCAGCAGGGTCTAGGTAGAAAAGTATGCACCTCCCTCCACCATGAGGAGGGCTGGGTGTCACTCCAGCTGAGCCAGAGGGGACAGGCCTGGCTGGATGGGCGGGGCTGGGCATTGCTTCCAGATCCCCCAGAGAGCCCCTCAGAGGCGGCTCCCCGGGCCCCTAGAGGGGGTGAGGTGGATCCTGAAGCTTAGAGGATACACAGCCCACCTCTGCCTTTACTAGAAAACAGCCTTGTCCAAACTGATTCCAGCAACTTCCAGCCTCAGGTAGCAGACCCCTGTGGAGCTTCCCATATAACGGGAGAAAATGGGGTCAGATACACACATCAGTGCAGGGTGAATGGATCTGCCTATCTGCTACCCGCAGCTCTGCGGGGTCATCCCTCACCCCACATAAGGGGATGCAGGTAGGGTTGACTCCACCCCCTGACCCAAGCCGGGCCCACCAGAGTCCTGGGACTGTGGCCAGAGTTGGCAGGAAAGATGCCCTGCAAGCTATAAAAGCCATAAGGACTCTGTTGGCTGAGGCTGGCAGTATTCGCTGCAAAGGGAGCAGCCCCAGCTTGGAGGTGGCAAAAGAGACAGCCCAACCCTGCCCAGTGGTGCCGCCTAAACCCCTGGACCCAGTGCAGGCTTGCTGGTTTCATGAGCCCGTGACTCACAACCACCTCCTCTGTCTGCCTTTGCCTGTTCTCATTTGAGTGTGGTTTCTCCTACTTGCAACTGGGAGTCCAGATGAACACAGACTGTAAGAACAGGATTCAGATCCGCTCATACATGCAGAAGTGGAGCTGGCCTGGGCTCTCTTGGGCCCACATAGTCAGATCTAAGGAACCCTCTAGGGGAGCTGGCTTGAGGCAAGGACTAAAGGAACTGAGCGGCCCAGGGCCCAGACGCGGTCTCCCAGCTCTCCTGGGGTCCCTGGGACCCGTCCCCACCTCCCGGCTGAGGGGCGGGCAGGCCCACTCACCACTTGGAGAAGGCACAGGTTGTCCCGCAGGGAAGCCAGCACGCCAATGAAGGACACGATGAACATGACGACCCCCAGGAGGATGAGGATGATGGCTGGGGCCAGAAAGGCACTCTCGAGGGTTTTGTATTTCTGCCTCTCCACCTCTGCATAGATCCCCACGGACAGCACCAGGGCCCCAATCAGCTGCAGCAAGAAAGCAAGGAGTGAGCGAGAAGGACTGTGGGCACTTGATTTTCCTGTGAACAGTTCACCTGGGGGCTGTGGCACCTGCTGGGGGTTGGGGGGAGCTCGCCCTGTTATGGGCTGCATCACGTTCCCCCAAAATCCCTTTGTTGAAGTCCTAATCCTCAGCACCTCAGCATGTGACTATATTTGGAGACAGGGCCCTTAAAGAAGTAATTAAGTTAAAAATGAGATCATTATGGCAGGTGGCCCTAGTCCAATATGACTGCTGTCCTTATAAGAAGAAGAAGAGATTATGACACAGATACCCATGGAGGGAGAAGACAGCCACCCACAAGCCAGACAGGACTCTGGAGAAACTAACCCTGCCAAAACCTTGACCTTGGACTTCTAAGCTCCAGAACTATGACAAAATAAATGTCTGCGGTTTAGGCCACTGAGTCTGTGGCACTCAATGCTACGGCAGCCCTAGCGGGCTCACACAGAGCCTGTTTGGAGGTGCCACTTTAGAGGAGAGTGCTGGTGGGTTGGGGGAAATGCCACTGGCAGGGGGTATGAAGGCATTCGCCTCCGCCCTGCTGACACCACGGCTCCAGTGAGATAGCAAAGGCAGAAACTCTGCAAACCTGGAAGCACGGGCCCGCTGTGATGGGTGTCACACAGGCAAGTCACACCGAGGAACTCCGGCGCTGTCAGGGGCACAGACGTCTCACAGAGCACCACACACAAGGGACTTACTGCCAGGACAACCGCGGGGAAGACCAAAGGTTGGAGCAGAAGGGATTTTGAGGGGAATTTTAAGTAGACTCCCTCTTTGCCAACTTCTCTATCAGTGGAAACACTATAAACACTGTGTCACAGGACACACTGCAACCTCCCAGCAGTAACTTCCCAGGCTCCTTACACTGGTCCAACCACCCCAGGTTGCCCGCCCCAGGGCCTTTGCACAGGCAGTCCCCGCTGCCTGAAACACTCTTCCTCCTGACATCCACGTGGCTCACTCTCCAGCCTAACTTCCCGTCTTTGCTCAATAGTCACCTGCTCCACAGTCACCTTTCAGGCCCACCTTGTGTACAAGCAGAAAGTCCCTCCCTCTGAAAATCCTGATCCCCTTTCCTCGTTTTTTTGTGTTTTGTTTTTTTTTTTTTTCCTTCTTTGCACTTACCAGTGTTTAATATACTACATCATTTCTTTAATTGTTTGTCTTCCCCACCAGAACATAAGCTCCATGCCAGGAGGGACTTTCTGACTGTTTCAGGCACCCCCACCACCCGGGTAGTCCCGACCCTGGGAAGTATGATTGATGTCTGCTGAGTGAACGCGGGCTGGGCTGTGCAACAGACCCCATGGATTCGAGTCACTGTCTGCCCAGTCTCCTGCCTGCCCGGGGATTCCAGCTTCCCAGGCCCCGGGCTCAGAGGGCAGGGACAAGTCACTAGATAACTGGACTTCTCCGCTGAGCTGAAGGCAGCGTGGGAGAGCGGCCGCGGTGCTGTCATCTAAGGTCCGAGGAAAGGGAGCGAGGGGCAGTACGGACAAGATGTGTACTAGGGGCACAGCTGCCCAGTGTCGCCATCCAGGACACCAAGGAGGCCACCCCTCCAGCTACTTACTGGTCCACCCAGCCTTAAATCAACTTAACGGTCCTCACTGATCACCACGTCCTCACAGTCACCCCCCTTGGCCTCTGGCCTCTTTCTAAAGAGGGCTAAGACTGAGTCCTCAGTCCTGAGCAAGGGAAGTCTCTGCTTCCTCCTAAGCTCTGACTAGTGGTGGAGTTGCCAAAAGTCAAACAAATCGTCTGAGCTAACACAGAAACACTGGGTAACAGAGGATCACCAGGAGACCATCTCGCTTGGATCCAGCACTCTGCCCTATTTCAAGGCTAAGTGCCATTCCCCTGGGTTTGAAAAGATCACCTGGGATTACTGAGACCCATTCCCACAGTCCAGAAGGAATGCCTCTCCAACGCACACGGGCCAGGAGGGGCTGGAGACAGGGACAGACTCGGCCACCTGCCACTTACTAACACATTGGCCATATAAGGCAGGAAACGCACACACACACCCCCTTCCACCATAGAAATGGCAACCAGAGAAAATAAAATCTACCTTTATAGAGAAAGATTACCCAGAGGCTGTCTGGTCAGCCATGCTCCAAAAGCCAGAACACGGTGAAACCATTGTCCCAGGCTGGCCTAAGCCCCATGTTACTCCTCTGAGAATAACAGTAAGTAGCCTCTAAAAAGCCAAATCCCTCCCCCCTCTGGATTACTCCACCTGTAAGAAATTGCTCAACACTAAACCCTAACCCTAAACGAGACAGAGAACCCATGGACTCAGCCACCTTGAAGCTAAGAACATGGGTTAAGTGAGAACCCCACGCAGGCTGGGCGCGGTGGCTCACGCCTGTAATCCTAGCATTCTGGGAGGCCGAGGCGGGTGGATTGCTCGAGGTCAGGAGTTCAAAACCAGCCTGAGTGAGACCCTGTCTCTACTAAAAACAGAAAGAAATTAATTGACCAGCTAAAAATATATATACAAAAAATTAGCCGAGCATGGTGGTGCATGCCTGTGGTCCCAGCTACTCGGGAGGCTGAGGCAGAAGGATTGCTTGAGCCCAGGAGTTTGAGGTTGCTGTGAGCCAGGCTGACGCCACAGCACTCACTCTAGCCTGGGCAACAAAGTGAGACTCTGTCTCAAAAAAAAAAAGAATCCCATGGAACACTGAACTTCTCAAGCCCAAGCACAGAATGAATAAGGTATTGAAGGACTCATCATGCTTGAGGGTGGCAGAGGGAGGGTGTTATCTTTTATCTTGAAAACTGTAACTGTCCCCAGTCACTGAACCGACACCACTATTACATCTTAACATATTCAGAATTGGCCCCATATACTTTGGAGAGTTCTATGTTTTCTGTTATGGAAAAAAAAAAGTCATTCTCCGGCAGGATGGGGGCATGGGCCCTGACATCTCCGCCCTCATCATCCCTCCTCCCCCGCTGGTCCCCATGCCTCCTTCCTGCCTGAGGCTGTGCTTCTAGGTCAAAGTACTCCGCTTTGCAAACTATCCCCCAAACACCAGAGCTGTCCCTGGCCCCCATTCTGAGCAGCACTGACCCCAGCCCTCTCCAGGAAGGCAGTCAGTGCCTTCTCCTATTTTTACAAGCTCCCCAGCGTGGCAGGACAGCCTCGCCAGCAGAAAACAGAACTCCCCTCGCTCTGATCTCACTTGCTCCTGCAATGGAGCACTGCTGGTTTCCTCCTAGTTGGCCTCACCACGTCTCCAGACCACAGCATGGGAAACGCTCCTACAGCAAATGCAAGCCCGGGCCTCCCAACTCCCCGAGCACCGTGCTCGGAGCCTTCCCAGGCCCCGTTTCCCAGTGTCTCCCGGGCTGCCCGGGGAGCTGCTCCCAGCGGCCTGGCAGGCAAGCCCCAGGCTGCTGCCCACCCAGCACAGGCCCTCTGGGCTCCTCACGCAAGTGTTCGAGGGGCGCTGGGCTCGGGGAGAGGCTGGCATCAGCCTTCCCAGGAACTTCAAAATTTCCAAATGGTATTTACATCTCCGATGACATCAATTTATCCATCTGGGTATAAGATCGTCTGTCAATGCCAACGTGCCATCCGGTCTCCTCCTCTCTGCTAATTATAGCCCTTCGGCAGGCAGCCGGCCACTCAGCTCTAGGCAGGAAGCAAATGGCCCATCTGTCAAGCAGGACGGCTTCAGCTAAACAGGCTGGAGAGGGGGCAGGGGGGACAGGGCCATGCCCTTCTGGGGCCAAAGAGGGAGAGAGCATGCTGCCGGCAGCCCACGGGCCGGGCCCAAAAACCCAGGCTTTGAGAACCACGCAGCGTCTTCAACAGGCTGCAGAGGAGCCCTCTCGCCCGGCACGACCAGGGCCTGAAGGTCCCCTCTGAGCCCTGTTTCCTCCTTGCAGGAAGAGGCCAGCTCCACGCAGGTGCCGGGAAGCAGGAGGCCCTGTGACGCGTTCTGGCACCTGGGTCTCCTTCAGGAAGCACCTGGCCACGGGTACCAGCTGAGCAAGTCTGCGCTTAAAGGGGACCTGCCAGGCCCATTTTCGCCTCAAAAGGCAGAAACCAGGATCTTGCTGTGTTCCAGGCTCTGTGTTAGGCTCCACAAGGACACAAGGTGCCAGAAGACCAGACACAGGACAAGACTGGGAGAAGGGAGAGGAAGAGAGGCTGGAAATGATAGTCCTCATGGATGGAATTTAGAGTCTTCAAACTGTAGACAGAGGGGGGGGAAATAAAAAAAAAATCACACCTTGACTTTAATTAGCATCCAACTGAAATGTCACTTCCATTTTGAATGTGGGCAACAAATCGCAGTAGTGTTAACAGCACCTGTGACTCTGTCACCAATGGAGATCACATTAGTTATTTCAAATATCTCAAATATCATTTATATTCCTCATTACTTCAAAAGGACAGTAGTATTGGACTCGCTGCTGGCTCCTGTGATTTAATGCACTGATAAAGAAAGCATGTGATAATTATGTCACAAATTTCGTTTTATGACATTTTAATAGCTGTATTGCAATATAATTGGTTTCTTTTGTAACCCTGTGTATTTCATTCTATGCATTTAAATATCTGGTTCTGAGAAGGGGTCCACAGGCTTCTCCAGTGGGCCAAAGAGGTCCCTGACACACAAAAAAGTGCAGAACCCCTGGTCTCTGGGAAGAAATCTGTAAATCCTGCCACGGAGAGGCAGAGAGAACTCCAGAAACTCCAGCCAAGGGGATGGGGAGGAGGGAGGTGTCAGAACAACAGGACGGCCCCCAGAGGAACCCCTTGTTTCCTGGGAGGCCCCAAGAACTGCTTCATTCTGCACCCATCTCATGGGCTCTCGAGGGCCCAGGGCTCCGCGTTGGGTCAAAACAAAGCACTTCTTAGAGTTTCTAGATTGAAAGGAGGTAGGGAATAGCTTGAATAAAGTGGGGCTAGCAGGGGCCCAGAGAAACTCTGGACATCCTG